TTCCATCCAGGTCTCTGTAAAGCAGATAAAATTCACATTTTGTATATCACAATTTGCCTGTAAGTCTTGAATATGTGGAATTAATCCCTGAATATTATGAAGCAATATACGTAATTGATTTTGCTTCAAGTTCTGGTCATCCTGTCGTTGGACTAAATACTTTGGCATTCTTTTTAATGCAGTTGATATCTGCTCAGTGCAGTAAATCATGAGGTCTTCAATTACCAGCCCATCTAGTGATCTCACACGGCTTAGCGCAACATAAGCCATGCCAGCAGAAAAGATGTTTTTCATTGAGACAACAGCTTTATCGGTGGTGAGTCCCTGCACCTTATAGGTGGTGCAGGCCCATGCTAACTGCAGCGGAAATTGATGTCTGACAGCATTTTTCTTCAAGTTTTCCTCAATTGGGGTAATTTCAATTGGTTTGTGTTCTCTTGGCTGTGATGATGAAATAGGTTTTCTTCGGATGTTTTCGTTATCGAAAAGTACTTTAACTGCACGTGGCAATGAAGAGTCTTTTTGTCCAGGCAGTATGCTTATCACCGTCCCAATAACACCATTGACCAAACCTATTGTCAAATCAATATTCCTTATAAGCATAACTCTGGCTTTTGGTCCAATAAGCAACTGTGCTGGTAAGTAATCATGTGTACTGTCATGTGGTGAAGTTTGTAGAATAAGCTCACCTGTTCTTGGATTTCTATCATAATCCTGTGCCATTAATGTTTCTGTTTCTTCACAAACTTTAGCAATCATCTTACTGTTGTGAGAATCTATTTCTTTGTTAGTGGCAAAAATGTGCAGACTTTCTAAAGGAACAGAATGTTGCATACAGGATTTTAATATACAATGATCATCGGGGAGCAAATGCTCAGTTTTCTTCTTTACACGCAATCTGTTCAATAACTGAGCAAATTCAGAATCCTCCTTTTGTCGCATTATCTGATTCAATTCAACCAATGAAAAATTTGAACTCCATAACGGGAAATAGTGTTCTGGTCTAAGATCGTAAAGACACTTTTGTTTCACGGGTGGAAGCTGGTAAAAATCTCTAACTGCAATAACACATATGTTTCCAAAAAGAGCATTTCCACTTTACTTGATTTGGCGTAGTCGCTCACTGACATACAGAAGGACACGTTGACCAACCATGGATATTTCATCGATAATTAATATATGAAGGTTCTGTAGTTTTGTGCGAAGCTTGTTTATTTCATCATCTCGTTTATAAATGTAAGGGAATGGTAGTGATTTTGAAAGTGAAAAGGCTTGATGCAAAGTTGTTCCACCAATGTTAAAAGCTGCAGTTGCTGTTGGTGGTGTGACAAGCACAACAATATCATCTGGACTTGATGCATGGGGAGATAAGATTTTGTTTGTCTCATAACACAAGCACTTAATCAAGTGGCTTTTTCCTGTACCAGCACCCCCATTGATAAAAATTTTAAAAGGGTCTGGATTCTTGCCATTCACTTTATCTAGGCACCACTGTCTAATCTGATAAAACACTCTTTTCTGACTGGTCGAGAATTTCCTGTCCTAAATCCACAGGTTGAAGGCATGTGTCTAAAGGTAAGCCCCGGTCTTTAAATGACTCCTCTTCATCGTTCTGATTTTCCTCTGTATCTTTTTCTGGTGTTAAAACTTCCGAATGTTCTGTCTCTTCAACAATGACATCTTGAAATTCTGAAGGAATATTGTCTACCCATTTTTGATTGATTAATTTATCATGATAATATGGATTATTCCTTTGTAAATATTCTAAACCTTTGCATATTTTTTTTCTACTAACAAACTCGTACTGACTGTAGCCTTTGTATTCTAGTTTCCTCTTTAGTTTACATCTTAGTAGTTCAGCTTCATTATCACACCTAGGAAGAACATTGGTGGTCTTTTCAATGTCTGTTGGAATAGACACGCATGGTCCAACAAATCCTCTCTGATTTCCTTTAGGTAGCTGGATGATTTTCATAAACGGTATCCTTACAGAAATGAGTTGTTTTTCCAACTTATTCAAGCATTTAAGTTGATCTGGAATAAGTGACAATTGTAGACCATTAACATAGGCATCTGCTGGCATTTGTCCTTTTAGAATGTGGAAGTGACAAGTAAAACAAATCCATTGCTTGTGATATATGGTTTCACAGCCATTTCTACATTGATCAGAACAAGCAGAATGAAATTGCTGAGTAATGCATTGTTTTGCCATTGTGATGCTCTTTGCTCCTTTTTTTGAGTATTTTTGCTCGTCACATATGACAACCTGTTTTCTGAACTTAAATTTATGGCAAACTGAGCATACATATATTGGACCATCTCTAACTTGCTGTCGAAAATAATTTGCAATATCATCACGATTCTGTTTTATGTTTAAACGTCCCTGTAGTATCATGGATATCTTTTTGTACTGTTGACGTAGTCTACGTTTGTGTTTTTCTTTGAGAAGCACATTCTGTCTGTACCTCAATCGAGTCAAAGTCTTTTTCTTTTCTCGAAAGTTTCTATCAAAAGCATACTTTTGTCTACTTGCTTTACTCATTGCTTTTTGAAATTGTATATTTAATTTGTATTTTGCTTTACTTCTTTCTTTCACTGTCTGTTGAAATTCTTTATTTGCATGATATGTGGCTATACTTCTGTCTTTCACTGCTTGTTGAAAGTGTTTATTCACATGATATTTAGTTATACTTCTTTCTTTCAAAGTCGTTGGGAATGGTTTATTCAAATGGTATTTAGTTTTGCTTCTTTCTTTCACTGCTCGTTGAAATTCTGCATTAGACTGGTATTTTGTTTTACTTCTATCCTTCACTTCTTGCTGGAATTTTTCATTCTGTCTATAATTCGTTTTAATTTGATCTATCTTTACCTGTTTAGTGGGAAGATTCAGATTGTATTTCTCTTCACTGTACTGGTCGACGACCAGTTACCGTCAGTTACCCAGTTACCGTCAATTGCATTTTTTCCGCGAAACGTCGTGGTCATTCCGATGACGTCATCGTGTTTTTTTAACGGACAAGCATCAAGAAGTTGTTGACAAAATTTAGTTCAGTAAGTATCAGTTTTTGGTTATTTATTTGTTAAAAAACACTTTTTTTATAACCCCCGCATCTCATGTTCAGACTGGGGAATCCTCTGTAGCAAAAATAAATAGAAACTGACCTAAAAATGGTTTGTTTACATATTTTCTAGAACCCTGTTCATCATTTGAAAATCATTTTAGCCATTCATTTCACGATTTTGCATACTAATATATTTTATAAGAATTTTCATCTGTCTCAGATTCTCATTGGGCGCCATTTTGGCCGATTTTCACCTGGGATGCAAAAATGGTGACAACCCACTTGATATCATAATGCTACTGGAAGTATTATTTCGTATATTTGTACCCATAATATAACATTGAAAACATTAAAGATATACCTGGTATATTCTATATTCTACACATTTCATTCATTGCATAACATGATTTGAAACACCATTACGCATTCCCTTCCAGAAAAGAGGTTTTAATAATAAAATATATTGACTTACATTTTGGAATTCACAAATTTTATTCCTAGATCGATTATCAAGACTGCCTTTGCAGGTCGTACAACATAAAGCATGCACATTTGAGAATAAAAGCGTACGTTTCCAGCATTGTTTACAAACTGCAACGCTTAAAGTCAAGGCCATTGTTATAATATTACGTCACATCTTTGTATTAGCAAGCAAGCACTTGTTACTTTTAAGGGGTATTTAAGGGATATTTATTACCAATGTACATGTACACGAAATCTGTTAAATCTGTTCACCTGCACATGGACGGAATTACCTAACGAACGACGTTGAAGGTCGGTAAAGCATTGCTTTTTATTTATTATAAAGAGTTTTAAGTCATACCATATTCTTTGTTTAGGTACTTCTAGGATCTTCTTGTTTAAACAGTATAACTTCTGTGTTTTCAGTTGCAAACATTACATTAATCATGAAAAATAAATCGGGAGGCTTCAAAGAGCTTTATCACTTAACTAGCAATACGTTGCTGTTTTATATGAAACAGCAGACATTTAGTTTTCCTGTTTGAATGGTTTTACACTAGTCATTCTTTGGGGCTCTTTATAGCTTGCATTATAACGGCAGCCAAAGCTCCGTGTCAAAAGCCGTCCTTCGACCTATAATGGTTTACTAGGTTTACAAATTACGACTTTTATAGAGAGTTGTCTTATTGGTACTTATCAGTGCTTAAATCTTCTTATATCCATCATGTCACAACCCCCCACACACAGGTCTACATAAAAAAAAATGACGTACAAAAAAAGCTATATCATCAAACAAATGGCCCAGATTACAGTACTTAAATTAATCAAGGGGACAAACATAGCGAATTATTTTAAAACACGAGAAAACAGACACCATTGTACACCACATTAAGTGCACATAGATACAAGAAGATGTGGCATGCCGTGAGTGCCAATGAGACAACTCTCCATTCAAGTCACAATTTGTAAAAGTAAACCATTACAGGCTACTAAACTTTAAGGCTTCCAAGAACAACCATCAACTAAACTCTATCTAACGAACAAGTACACCATGCAATCATAACATATATACTAACAGCGAGATAGGTCTCCTCGCCTGCCAGCATACATTTCAGGACAATCTGCGGGACAGAAACATTTCTAATTCAAAGACTCGCTCGACCATGAACTAGAGAGCAGGGCCTCGAAATGGTCAACACACGGATATGTTTATACAGTATTGTGTCTTTAAAGGCATCAATCTATTGAAAGTGGTTCCTGTCAACACAACTTAAACCGAAAACTGAACATTAAAAATTGGTACACAATTGATTCAGACAAATGTAGGCACTCTGTCCGCTGTAATAACGTCGCAATTTTACGATCTGCCGTCATACATTTTTTAGTTTTTATTGCCACTGGTTATCGCAATAAAACAATAGAATTACTGAGTAGAATTAGAAATAAATTTGATGTAAAAATAAATGGATATTTAAAGACTTTTTACATGATCTCATATTTATTGATATAAAATAAATAATATTTGCGAGATGTCAAACAAACGGTAATTTTTGGACGACGTTACACTCTTCGTTTAATTTATCGGAACAGACTATATTTTATTAAGCTGGCGCGCCATCTATAAACAACAAATATTTATGGCAGAAGACACATTGTGAAGGAAAAGTTCCAGAGTTGGTACTGACTAATGCTCTTATTGTTCGGTAGGTAAATAAATTCACCCTGTTAGATTCAAGTAGAAATTTTAATAATTCTCTTGAAAACGTACATAAATGAATGGGAGCTTTTAGGAGAACATTCTTCAGAACTTCAATGAAATGACCCCCAAATTCGAGTTTCATCCGACTTTCTACTGCACAGCGTGAACCAGGCAAACTATCGATATCTTGATACTTTTCACGACAATTGTCAACGACGTCGTGAAATACTTCGTAACGTTTCCTTGTCCACGCATTGATGTATGTACGTGAAAATGAAATGCATATGTGCTTCTCAAAATGTAAACAATCGTCAAAGGTACGGCAGCCCGGTGCCTCAGAAAGCTGTGTTGTTTCAATATGTAATATTGGATTATGAAAAGTGAAACAATCAACGTCTACGCTTTAAAAGCTATCATCTTGTGTCATATTATTTGAAGAGAGACATATAAGTTGAATTTTCTTCGTATACTGGTATAAATCCTAGACTAGACATTTCTATTTATATCACGAAAAACTATAGTCTGTTTCTTTACTCACTTTCACTGTCTGCTTTTTACAAAAAACAGCATGGTGTCGAGGCATTGATTGTGCGATCTTAAACTACATGTACAACACACTACACATCTAAAGTAATAACTTTTACAAGAATTTGTCACCTTCAATTTTTTGCTATATAGTTCAAATAAAAGTGTGATTTGAAAAAAAATATTTTGAAGGCATTTCTAGTTTGATTTAAAAGAACATGGTACATGTACCATTATAATCAAAATTACACATCTTTATTTGATTATTTGGACATAGTTTTGTTGTGAAATGCTTTCATTTTCTGATGATATAAACACAAATATTATTTTTCATGAAATTTACTATGAGTTTCTACCAAATGAAGTGCTAAAAAAATATTCATAAATGGTCACATGAAGAGAACACGAAAACAACTAAATATGAAAAAATGAAAAAACTAAAATATTCTAGAGACAATATTGTGACTTACAACACATGGTTTGTTAAAATCAAACCCTTAAGTTTATATTACATTATTTAAACAGCAAAAAGTTGTAGGTGCCAGACTTATATTAATTGCATAAGACATATCTTTACTGTTTTGGATTACACTTTGCTTGGAGAAAAGTTAGTTTTGTAAAATATATAAAATAAAAGTCTGTTCATACAGTATAAGCTTTTAGGATAAATGATTTGAAAACGCATTCCAAAATAACTTATATTAGCAGTACTTAAGATTAAAAATTCTGGTATGATGATTTTAATAATACTTAAGATTAAAAATTCTGGTATGATAATTTTGAAAGGATATCTTCAAAACAAAACAAAAGACAACTTGCTCTGCCTCCAACAAGATTAAATAATCACTGCAGTATACATTGAAAAGATATGATACTATATGCAGTTACATTTACAATTAAGAGCAGTAGCCAAAAAATACTCCATTTAAAGTAATATAATACAGAAATGTTTTAATTATTTAGCCTGGTAATGTTGGTATTGTGTCAATTTGACAGCAATCCAGCAATTATAAAGTGTTAAGCAACAGTACTTTTTTAAATGTCATGTTTTAAAATGTTCAGAGAAGAAAATATTTGGATTTTTTAGATTTTAAAGTCTTATGCTATAAATCTTGATTTTTTTTATATATATCTTTTTCAGATCTAATATTATATGTTGTATGACAAGGCACTAAAGAATTCAAAAATATTTTGCTGCTAATCTATACGAATTTCAATTATTTGTAAGTATGCTGTTAGAAATTTTTTTGTCAATATATGAAACAATTATTTACTATATTATATAAGCAAGTTCAAAAATATAACACACTTGAAGGTATCAACATTTTAATTATTTTTTCAAAATGTGTGGTTTTATGGTTTTATGTCAATGATTGATTGATTGAATGGTGTTTAACGCCACTTTCAACACTAGTGTTCTTTTTTATGGTGGTCAGTATTTATTGGTGGAGAAAGCAGGAGTGCTTAGACAGAACTGCAACCTTCAGTAGGAAATTTGACAATCCTAGTCAATAAGATTGTAGTCTAAACCAATAAATCAATTATCATAGTAAAAAAAATCACACCTTGCATGTGCAGGATTCCAAATTCCCAACCTCAGTGTTTACAGGCTAGTGATACAGTATGAGACTTTTATAGTATAGCAGAGAAAAATATCAACATACACTCTTTATCTATAGAACAGTGTCTTAACATATATACATGAAGTTGTACATTTTTATGACATTCAGTTCTTTCCATTTTTATGCCCCCGCTGTAGCGGAGGGGGCATTAGTTTTTACCCTTGTCCATCTGTACGTACGTACTTACGTACGTCCCGAAAATTAGTTTCCATTCTCTAACTTTAGTTTGCCTCAACCAAATGTTTTGAAACTTATACACAATGCTTATTACCACAAAAACAGATCCAGTTTGAATTTTGGTGGCGTTTATTTTTATTTAATTGAATTATATATTCTTCAGTTTCTGCACATGTTATTATAATAATATTTTTTTCTGTTTCAGGTCTTTTAACCTTTAAAAGTGAGACTAGACACTACAGATGTAAAGATGTAAAGATGTACATTTCTGTATGAATATCCAATAACTTGTAAGCATTCTTTTAGATAAAGTTCTATTACAAAACAAAACAAAATTTTAAACCATTGTCATTAACAAGAATGGCCTGGTATAACAAAACCTTGTGTCTGAAATCATCTTAAATACATTTTCTACAAATCAGGTTTATAATATTTGATGTTTTCTTTTTGTCTCCCTGTGAACATGTACATGAGATTACACACACTCATGCACACAAAACACACATATATATCATTGACAGTCACACATTTGATACACATCAATTATTATAATTAAATACTTTTATCTTTTTTTTCAGGTAGCATGGAAAAATTTCCTTGCCTAGCAGGACTAGGCTTTACTGTGTCTGTGAATAAAAGACTGGAGATAGATGAAGTAGAAGACAAATTTATAACTAATAAACTACTTCTTGAATTGAACACCATTAAAGAAAGGTCCAATGGTGTTTACACGTACCAGGATGTCCTCAACTGGATATCAAGTCTTAGTGGTAAAGAAAATGTAACCAACAAAAGCGTATATTTAAAGGTAAAATCTATACTACTGAAAATCAAGACAAAAGTTTCAAACCTTAAGAAAAACAAACTTAACAGTGAACATGTTGAGAATTATTTGAATATGGTTATAGACACTGATTGGTTGTTAGAAATTCCAGAAACAAGAAAGCGTCATAACAATGATACAGAAAGAATTTCAAATGTAAAATCAAAGAAAAGAAAAGAGAAACAATTGATTTGAAACACAGAAATAATAGCAACACATGGAGAGAAGCAAACAGGAAACTAATTTTCAAACTTCAAAAATGTGAAAAACAGTTAAGTCAGACAGAAAGAAAACTGAAAATATCACAGACTCAAAACAAAATAAACAAGAAAAGATATACCCAAGTATTCAAGTTTCTGAAGAAACGTAGAAGTAAGACCGAATTAGAGACAAAAAGAGATAAAGAGAAAGTACGATATTGGAAAACACAAACTAACAAAATAAAGCAGCAAACTCAAACTAAACTGGACAATTTGAAAACAGCCATAGAAACCCATGAAGAAATACATAGACTGAATCGCTTAGAAATCACAGATCTAAAAAACAGATTACATGACTTAGAATTGGAACTAGAAAAAAATGAACACACTGCCGAAATAGATTTAACTAAGCAGAGTAAATTTGGAAGATATACCTATACAGCAGAGACAGATTTATGCATAATGGAATTATTGAACTGCCATGTTCCCTTTGATAGAGTTGATACTGTCATAAAAAGTGTTCTTTCTCTCTGCAAGTTGAAAGCTAAAGATGAAACCTTACCAAAGAAAGATTATGTTTCGTCTGTTAATGTCCGTAGACTTGCCATCAGTCAGGCTCACATTGCAGAGACATGCATAGAAGGAAACAGAACATTGTACACTGACGAAACAAGAAAAAATGGACAGTCATATGGCGTTTTCATAACATCCAATGAAAACCAAGAACCATGCTTATTGGGACTGAAGCACATGTCTAGTAAAGCTTCAAAAACAGAGTTAGAAACACTTAAAGAAATTCTAAAAGAAATTGAGGATCGTACTCAATATTTGCAAAATGAAAATCCTCCAAGTTTGGCTTATAACATTTTAAAAAATATTTCAAATACAATGTCTGATAGAGCTGCGACAGAAAAATCATTCCAGCAACTTCTGCAAGATTACAGAACAATTCTTCTGAAAGAAAACATGGACAACTTTAATGAACTATCAGAACCAGACCAATTACTGATTACCAAAATGAATAATTTCTTTTGTGGTCTTCATCTTTTAGTCAATATTGCAGATTTGATGTGCAGTATCTTCAAAGAATGGGAGCAAACTGTGATGAATAAAGAAGTAGTTGGGGAGTCAGCAATTATAAAAACAGTAAGAGAAGTATGCAAGGCATTTGTTCCTGGCGTGGACAATAAAAATGGAGCATCACTAGAGCTAAAAACATACCTGTCAAGAATCAACGTTAAATTTCAATTGAAGTCATTCCAGGGTAACCGATTCAACATTGTCTTCCATAATGGAGGAGTAATATATTACCTTCATGAACATTTCATTTACTTCCTTGAAAATATAAAATCAGAAGGCAATACCAACACCTTGAATGGGCTGATGAAAGACGTATTGAGAAATTTGAAATGCAGTCACAATATTGTAGGCTTAAGGGCATTAGGAGTTTACAATAAATTTATAACATCACCTCTTTGGAAAATTATTGAAGCTGACAATACACATATTCTAGACATGAATGCGCACTACCATAATCTCATCCAATTTTTAGAAGATGTTGCTACAAATATAGAATCAGCAAACGAACTCTTAACTGGTGAAAAGCGACCATTCCCCAATATAAAGATAAAAAAAGATGAAGTCTGGGAAGTTTTTGGTCAAACAACAGACCAATGATGCCGAAACTGTGAGTCTGTTAATGCAGATGGCTGCCGCAACATGCAAATCATTAAAAGTAAAAGATCATTTACCCGGTGGGAAATTTGAAAATGTTACAGCAGATGTACAAATACAAATGAAATCAGTCATTCCACACAACAAATTACCTGAGTGGGTATTTGGATACCTTGATTGGCTCCTTAAACACAGACCAAATTCAACAAGACTAGCCAACGAAGCACACATCGTATACAAATTAAACAAAACATCAGAGTGGCTCCACAAAAAAACTGAACTAGAGATTGAAAAGCTAGTTCAATGGTCAAAAAGAATGTTACCCAGAATCAAGTTTCAGGAGAAAGAGAGAATCAAAGAAATAAAAAAGCAAATGGAGGATTTAAGCAAAGCAAAGGAAGAAAAAAGCAAGACAAAAAAAGCCAAACAACTGGAAGAGAAAAGAGAATTACTGGATGCCATCTTTGTACAAGGGCTTTGAAAGTCAAGGCAAGAAATAGAAATGAAACTACAGCAGAAGTAAAAAAAACTGAAAAGAAAGATGTTAACTAATCAAATAAAATTTAGACAGTTAGTCCTAGAACAATCAGCTGACAAAAAAACTTTCCAAATAAGCAGATTTGAAGGCAAACCAGTTACTATAGATATGCTGATGTCGAACTTGGAGATCTTAATAAGATTGGAACATGTATCAGGTAAGTCGTTACAACTCATAAAACAAATATGTTATTAACAACACATTGAATTTTGGTATATGTTGGTGAGACAGCAAACAAACAACACAGTCTAATCAAAATAGGAAATAAATTACTTCAAATTGGCCTGAACATTTACTCAGTAGATTTTTTTATTAATCTTATTGAATTATGCTGATCTAGTTTTACAAGTACAATATTACAACAAGTTTAATTGCATGAAAAAAACCTCGTCAAAGATACCATATTCAGCTCTTCATACAAAAATTCTTGTTAGTAAGAATACTCTTTTTTGTGAAAAAAAACTTGCAGGCTTCTATAAATTAGAAGTCGAGTTTCAACAGACCAGCACCTGTGATATTTGACATTTGACAAACAAATAACCAGATAGCAATTAAAGAAAACAGCTGACTGAGTATTTATAACAAATTTTCTTTTAATCAATTTGACTTTTGTTGTATAGATTTCAAACTACGAATAAGCTATATGTAAATATACACCTTAACCTTATTTTTTTTCAGAAATAGAAGTAGATGTAGAAGAAACAGTGACAGAAGAATAAATGGCAACATATGAATGAACATAAACTTAAAATTGAAATAAAACACATTTTCGTTTTGATGTATTTTACATATAAACAATTGGAGATGTTGGATACACTTTAATGAGACAGCAAGCCAGCAACACAATCACAATATATATCTGGAGTTCATGTCAAACTGGATACAAAAATGAAGATTGTGGTTTACGTTAAAATTTTAATACATATAATATAGTTCGGTTGAAAGTTAGGTACTCTTTTAGGCTTTGATACAATTTGCCAAGTTTATTTAGATTTATTGATTAAGAACTTGTTAATGAATAATTTCTGTATTCCGTGTTTAAGATAATATATCTGTATAAAAATAAGGAGATGTGGTATGATTGCCACTGAGACAACTATTTTTGAAATTTTTCTGATATCTTCTTTTCTTGTCTGGTTATGTCTTTCATGACCACTTCATATGGACTTCCCTCTGTGATAAGTTTGCATGGTAACTATGTAACATTATTTTTTTATTTCTTGCATATTTTTATTGAATAGCATTCTTTTAATGGATCATGACAATAAACATGATATGCATTTTTTTGAAGGTTTACATGGTATAAAATAACGTTATTTTCTGAACTTCAATTTTTGCTGAAATATGATGTTTTGGTACTGCTATGACCTTCTCCATGCTCTTTACAGAACTTTAAAACTCTATAACAATTGTTTGATAGTGATTCATTATGTATATGTTAAATTACTAAGGTATTTCAAAAGGGCAATATGACAATTATTTAGTCTAGTGCCATAAGATCAAAACGAGCCGATTCCTCCAGGGTAGAAAATGCGTCAAAAGGGGAGACAATGTCCTTGAAAAAAATGCCACATACTGATGACCAGAAATAATGTCATTTTTTTAATAGGTAATAAGTATGCTTCAAATTGGGGTACACAAAAATTCCTCTTCTGTTAAAATGGTGAAAGCTGCAGAGTCACTAACAAATGGACAAATTACGTCATCAATGGGTGTCTGTTAACAATTCCGAACATGTTTATATAAATAAAATGTTTCATGATTGCCAACGAGAAAACTCGAAGTCAACGAACGATACAGAAATTAACAAATATGGGTCATCGTACGGCTTCATTTGTTGGTCTTACTGGGTTTCAAATCTTTGCTATTTACAATTTCTTTTCATCTATAATGGTTTTTGCAGAACACGCATACATCTCGCCTGTCATTGAAATTATTCTAATAAATAAACCAGATACAGAGCAAAAATAATTACAGTGTTAAAGTTAACAAGATCTGTCAATGCGAATATAGATATAATAGACCCCGATTAGGGACATGGGCATCTATCTTTATGAAATGAGACGGGTCTATGAAATGAAAATATTATTCGCATCCAGATGAACTTGAAGATAAACTAATGAAATAGTTTTGTCTATAGAACACGAACGTGACCGTAGCCAAGCGGACACGGAAATGAGATGTGCAATTTTTGTATACAACTGCAAACCACATATCTCAATTAACCATTTGAGGCATCCTTTAAACGGACCCAAATAAAAAAACTCCAATGTAGACTGTAAATTTGCTACCTTCTTCAGCTTTCGAGATAGACACCAATGCTCATTTATGTTATTGGATTTCAGTCACACCAATATATTAAAACAACAAATCTTGTATGAAATACTGGTTTGTGGTAAATTTGGTAGTTATGTATTACTTCTAAAGAAGTATGAATGAGCAGGTCTGTAAGGAGGCGATGTCCAAACGCTACATCTATTGCACACCCAATATAAGTTCACTGATCATTAGTGGTTTGAACTCCCTGTAAAGTGACCAGATTTCAGTAAAGAAAACAAATGAAATACCTTTCACCTCTAATGTGAACAAAATTGATAGCATATCTCTGAATAACAAGAGTGCACACACTAATATGTCTTGTCTCCTTTAATGATCATTCCATTATATATAAAGCTTTACTACAACATGTACAAGAATACGAGGCCAAGGTTAGATAACCATACAGGAAATACATGTACAGACCTTACAATCATATACAAAATATAGTCGACTTATTGCTTAAAGTTTCTAAGAAACAACTTCACCACGAAAATTACATTGACGAATGTGCCATAAACTGTTATCACAGACGTGTCTCGCCTTTTTGTAGAAATAAAAATGGCAATATTTTAACATCTTACTCAAGTTATGTAAACTAAGCAAAAGTTTCAAAGTAGATAGACCATGACTGAGGGGATGAGGTAAAACATTCTCCATGGAAATGAGATGTGCCAATGCTTGTACATCTGAATACCAATTAACATTGGCCTGTCACAAATGGTTCCCCTTGAATGGACCTAATCACGATGCTTATACAACTGCATACAAACAGAGACATGATACATATAATATAATTCTATTATGTCTTCTATACCAAATATCATTGACCTGCCACTAGAGGTTCCCCATAAACTGACCTAATTACAAACATGTAAAATAAGCACAAAAATTTCAAAATCAAGAGACCACGACTGACGGGGCAGGGCCAAATAATCTCTATGAAAAAGACATGTGCCAATGCATATACAAAATATGATTGACCCACCACCTGTGCGTCACCATAAACTAGACCTACTCCCAAACTTATACACTGAAGACTTCCGCCGGAAACAGCATACCTAGTTCTCACTTTTTTTTATTCCATCAAGGTGAAACAATAATAAAATACTCCGCAGGGCGCAGCTTGATACAGTTGGGACAAGTATGGACACAACATTCAAGCTTGATACAGCTCTGAATTTGGATTGTGATTAAATATTTGACACAGCATAGGTTTCTGACACTGAATGAATGTGGTCTAAGAACTTAAACATTTTTAATTGGACATTTACCTATTATGGTCCAACATATAAAATCTAAATACATGGTTAGATTCAGCATATCAAAGAACCCCAAGAATTAATTTTTTGTTCAAATCAAAACTCAGTTTAATTTTTGGACCCTTTGGACCTTAATGTAGACTAATTTGAAAATGGGACCAAAAAATAAAAATCTAAATACCGTTAGATTTCATTTGGCATATCAAAGAACCCCAATAATTCAATTTTGGATGAAATCGAACAAAGTTTAATTTTAGACCCTCTGGACCTCAATGTGGACCAATTTAAAAACGGGGCCTCAAATCCAAAAACTTAATTCACAGTTAAATTCAGCATATCAAAGAACCCCATATATTCAATTTTTGTTGAAATCAAACAGTTTAATTTTGGACCAACTTGAAAACTGGGCCCATAATCAAATATCTAAATACATGTTTAGATTCAGCATATCAAAGAACCCCAAGAATTCAATTTTTGTAAAAATCAAGCTAAGTTTAATTTTTGACCCTTTGGACCTTAATGTAGACAAATTTGAAAACGGGACAAAAAAATAAAAATCTAAATACACAGTTAGATTCGGCATATCATACCACAATAATTAAATTTTGGACCCTTTGGACCTTAATGTGGACCAATTTAAAAAATGGGGCCCAAAATCAAAAAACTTCATACACGGTTAAATTCAGTATATCCAAGAAACCCATATATTCATTTTTTGTTGAAATCAAACTAAAGTTTAATTTTGGACCCCAATTTGGACCAACTTGAAAACTCGGCCCATAATCAAAAATATAAATACAGGTCTAGATTCAGCATATATATCAAAGAACCCGAAGAATTAAATTTTTGTAAAATCCAACTAAGTTTAATTTTTGACCCTTTGGACCTTAATGTAGACCAATTTGAAAACGGGACCAAAAATTAATAAACTGTTAACACAGAGATATGTCTCGCCTATTTGTTATTTTGATAATGCAAATGTTGAAATTAAAATAGCAATACTTTAACATGCAAGTTATGCAAATATTCAAAGTCAATGAACCACGACTGAAGGTACAGGGCTAAGCAATCTCCATGGAAATGAGATGTGCCAATGCTAATACAACTGCAAACCAAATACCATTGACTTTTCATAAGTCGTTCCCTATAAACAAACCTAAACACAAACATTAACTTGTACTATGTAAAAGTTTCAAAGTCAATGAACCATAATTAGGGGGTGGGGATATATAATCTCCATAGAAATGAAACTTGCAAATGCCAATACATTTGCATACTGAATATCATTGACTTAACATTAGTGGTTCATCTTAAACTGACCCAATCACAAACTAATACATGTAAACTAAGCAAAAGTTTCAAAGTCAATAAACCATGACTGAGGGGTAAGGACCAAATATTCTCCATGGAAATGAGATGTGCTAATGCTTATACTACTGCATACCAATTATCATTGACCTACCACTAACAGTTCCCCTTAAACTGACCTAATCATTATAATCACAAACTAATACATGAAAACTAAGCAAAAGTTTCAAAGTCATTAGACCATGAATGAGGGGGCTGGTCAAAATAATCTCCATGGAAATAATATCCATAAACTGACCTAATTACACACTAATACATGTAAACTAAGCAAAGTTTCAAAGTCAATAGACCTTGACTGAGGGAGTGGGGCCGAATAATCTCCATGGTAATGAGATGTGCCAATGCTAATACAACTGCATACCAAATATATTTGACCTACCACTAGTGGTTCACCATGAACTAGACCTAAACTCAAACTAATACATTGTTGACGCCACCGCCGGAAACAGCATACTTCAATGTCTCGCTTTTTGACTCCGTCAAGGTTAGATTCGGCATATCAAAGAACCCCAATAATTCAATTTTTGATGAAATCAAACAAAGTTTGATTTTGGACCCTTTGGACCTCAATGTGGACCAATTTTTAAAAACAGGGCCCAAAATCCAAAAACTTAAAATACACTGTTAGATTCAGCATATTTAAGAACCCCAAGAATTCAAGAATAAAACCCCATTGAAATTGGTCAAGAAATAAGCAATTTATACTATTAAGTGAGTATTGTTTTTGGCCCCTTAATCATAAACAGTTAGGGCCATACCCCCCAAAATCTATCCCAACCTTCCTTTTTAGGTATGGAACCTTGTGGTACAATTTCAGAAATATCCATGC